CGGGGCTTGCAGGGGAGCCTCCTGCCGGTCTCAGGCACACCCAATTTGCCTCTCAGCTAAGCGGAAAAGCAGGGCAGGTTCCCAGTACACAGCTGAAGAGGAGGAGAGCTGCTAGGATGCCAGGCACAGACTCAGCAGCACTGTAGGTGCCCCCTCCTCTCCTGCTGGGCTTTGTTTATGCTGCACTTGGTGGTCATAGGAAGAAACAGAGCAAGGGACCAGCACTTGTTCTTCATCTACAGGGTAACAATTAACTGCTTTCTGGACTGTGAGCTCTTTGAAGCAGGGGCTAGCACTGGCAACACATTTGCAGGGTGCTGAATCCAACCTGGTCCTGGCTGTTAGCAGTCACAGACACACCCTAAGCGAGAAGGCAGCAGCCTCCTTTAGGCAATTTTCTGGGGTTTGCAAGATTTTTCCAGGGGACGTTCCAGTTGAGCCAGCCACTTTGCTCTGCACAAACAAAGCCCTGCTCACAGCCTGTGACTTGTATCATCATGAAGGAGCCAGGCAACAGTTTGCTGGAAGCCCTTCTCCAAGATGCACGCTCCTGAAGAGCTGCCTCCCTTCAGCAGAAGTGCAGGAGGTTATATAAAAGCCTAGCTCAGTGCTTTTAGCCATCAGTAGAGAGGCCAGGCTTAGGCCAGGTGTATGGTCCCTGCTGGGCAGGCTGCTCTTGAGAGGACTGGAGTTTTCTGGATATTTAAGGAAACCTGCCCTGCATGTACACAGACTAAAGCCTGCTGGCTCTACCCAAGCCTGGCCTGGGGATTTTCAAGCCAGGATCATGAAGCAATCACTGGAAATGGCAAACACCTCTGTCTGAGGACAGCGGTTACTTATTAATTGCAGAGCTCCTTTTGCTATTCTAGCTTGAATTTCTCCAGAGCAAACACATCTCTGTCCAGTGCTCTGCCAAGCACAGTGGGAAACAGAGAGCTGGCCAGGAGGTTTTGTTCATTTGCATCATCTTGCTGCTGCAAAAGTACTGAAATAATCAATACAGCAATAGCAGCAAATGGGCACGTCCATGCCGGTCAATGGGGCCCTTCACTGAGCCCACACCCCTCTGCAGCAGCCGCTCGCTCCAAAACCAAGAGCCACCATACAGGGATACCCCTCTGTCTCTACCGCTGGCTTCTTCTCACTGCCCCAAGCATCATGCAGTGTTCTGCTGCCACCTGCCAAGAGATCCCAAAAGCAAAACTGGGCTGCTCCATCAGCTCTGGGAGCTGCAGTTTGCCTCCATTCTTCTAAGGTTATTGTTGTTACTGAGCACAAGTCACGAAGGCTGCTGGTTTGCCAAAGAATGGCTGGATGAATGCATCTCTCCCACCAATTTAGCAGCCCTCGCTAGTCTCAGATGCTGGCCAAGGCCAACAATTAAGTGACCCCATGCTGCGAATCGCCTCCCTGATGTCCCCGCCAGCAGCAGCCTCCTCATTCCACGCATCCAGGACTCCCCCGGGCATCTCGGCACTGGTGCTGGTGCCAGAGGCACAAACACGAGAAATTCTAAGGCTATCTGGTGATTTTCACATGCTCCAGTCCACACCGCCCCATGCCATTCCTAGCACAAAGAGTGCCACCATGAAAGTGAAATGCACCGTGCCCTCAACTGAGGTCTTTTAGAACAATGTCGTCAGGAACAAAAAGAGCCTGTTTCTTATCAGCCTTCCTGGATTCCAGCGAATGAACAATAAATGGCATGTATTTGTTACATATTTGGTTTCGACATCCATACTGAGCTCAGAAATCTGTGATAAACACTGCACAAGGGAAAGCAACAAGACTCCAGCTGCGGGAATCCTCTGCAGTTCAGTGGTCTGAAAACAAAGGCAGGCAGAAGAAGAACTGCAAATTCTCCCCCCTCCCAACCATGAAGGCAGTGACCCTGCAAAATTCATCTGAAGACCCCCTTTGTACTAGTTTAAAAGATACTCAGCAGCTTTCCTTCAGTCAAACTCTGTAGCACCAAGCCTTTCTGGCAGGACAAACCAATTGAAACATATGTGACTCGCTGCCAGGGCTCTAGAAATCAGCTATGGAGAATTGAACCACACAGATGAATATTCAAAGGGTTATACACTTGATCCTTCAAATTTCATAAGAAGTAGATCAAATTGTCCAGCTATGGTTGGAAACAATGTGCTTCCCTCTCTCTCCCCCCTCCCCTTCCTCCCCCTGCCCCCAAACCTATTTTCTTGCATTTTTTTTAAACCACCTCATTCTGTAATTCAGGAAACACCCACATCCATCTGACTAAAGGAGGGAGGGGTCCATTAGATTTTTCCACAGAGTTAAGAGGTAACAAAGCAGCCTGGAAAATTAATTTTCCATCAGATAAAATTATTATTTTTGGTCACTTGCCCCTTTCAGTACATGAGTGTCTCATCAAGGTGGGGTAGGTTAGAGGCATGAATTTGGTGGCATTCTTACTTATGAGACTCTGAATCACAATTCCAGGCAGTCCAATAACAAAATTATAGCCACCAGCACCCATTCATCACAAGAACATAACATTTCTAAACACGGACTTTATGAATTAGTCTCCATTAAGAGGCAATAAAGGACTTCACATAATCTCCGTGGAAGATAATTCTCCCACTACTTTTCCGTCTAGATGACTTGATTTATTTATTTGTTTGGAACACCCTCTCCAATTTACTGACCTTATTCTTGGAAACAGAAAAATACCTTCTCTTCTGCTCTGCTTCTTGTATATTTTGACTATAGCTGTGCAGGATGAGATTTTCCTGCCCTAGAGAAAAACTGCTGAAAAATGAATTCAAAGTTGCCATTTCAAAAAATTAAATTAGAATGTGTTTTGGGGCTTAGGGGGGGTTAACAACAATGCAGAAAAAAATCCAACCAAAATCTATGGGTTTAGGCTTTTTTTTCCTGGCTAAAATGAGAATTTTCTGCCAAGTGTTTCAACAGAAGCTTTTTTTTCAGCCAGCTTGACAACTCCCTTCAATAGAGGCTGCCTGGACTGAGCAGCTCTAGGATGGGGGCATACCACGAGGGGACAGTGGAAACCTGGCACACTCTTTCCCTTACCTAGGACCCTAAAGAAGATCCCTCTACCGTTCCACAAAGCTAACCCTGAGTGGGATGTCATGAGACAAAGAAGATAAAGGCAGGAGGAGCTGGAGTCTGTTGCCTGCTTCCCACCCCTCACCCTCCAAAAATAGCTGCTCTTCAAGCAACTAGCATATAGGAACCCACTTGAAGACAGCCTGTATTTTGGGGGAAGGGAGTTTCCATCATATTAAGCTATCACATCACCACCATCAATCTGACAGTCTTATTTACACGGCTTTGGGGGCATAGGCACTTAGGGATGACAGCTCCTGCATAAACCCCATGAGAGGGGCACAGGGAGCTTCTGTGAAACTGGAACTTCATTTCCCCACAGATCCTAGGAAACGTTGCCTGATCCCTCCCCAAAAGGGCAAAATTGGGAGTCAACGCTGCAAGGTCATGACTCCTCGTCTTCACTCTGTCAGGTACTTCTGCTGGGGTCTGATCTCCCCAATCACTAGTTGCACCTGGAAGAGTCAGTAGAGGACATTTTTCCTCTCCACATAAAACTGATTCCCAGAGATAAGACTCACCCAGAGAGCAAGGGAGAAAAATGTCAGAGTGGGGGGCCAACAGGAAGAGATGTATTATTTTCAGCTTAAAAGGGAAAGATTCATACAAGGAAAGTAATCCAAGAGGCTGGGCCATTCCCACCCCCACACAGATAGGTTTATTTAAGGGAGAAGAAAGCAAATTCCTTTCACAGTGTTTACTTGGAGACGGCTGGAGGGAACGGGACTGTACTGCCCTTCCCAACAAGCTGGACACTCAGACCCTAGCAGGATCCAGTGTTTTTCTCTACCAGAATTAAAAATAAATCAGGAGCAGCAAGGACTAGGGAAGATGGATCTTCAGCAGCATCACACACATCCCTCAACCAAGGCAGATCATAGGAGCAAAACAGAAACAACTCACCACTAATATTGCAGGCAGAAACCATGCTAGATTGGGAACAGCCAGATACCAGCACCAACCAGTGCCAGCATGATGCTTCCCTAAACAAGCTGGTGTATAATGTACCACATTACCCTACCTTCTGCCTTAGGTCAGACCAACACAGCTAACTACCTTTCTCAACTCAGTCAAGTGCTCCGGAGCTTAGTTATCCTAGCTCTTGAAAGCAATCCTAAAAATCTCCAGTAGTAATCCCACCAAATTGGAGACTGGCAGGTGGGTCAAGCGAGCCGGCTGGAGCCATGTTCTTGCAGCTGCCAATTCTGGTCTGTAGCTTTGCTATGCGCTAAAACGCGCTGCAAGACGCACACTTCCAAGTGACAGCGCGGCCCAGCAACAATGAACTCTACTGCCAGCCTGAGCTCTCAGCAGCTTCCCAACCTGGCGCAAGGCACACAGCGGAGGATGCCCACATCTGACACACCCTGGGCCCAATTACCTTAAGTACCGAGCACCCACCCCTCCAACCGGAGGCGCTGGCAATGGTCGGTGGGTCGGCAACTCGGTGCATTTCATAATCAGGCTCAGGACGTCTCAAGCTACACGGGCAAGAAGGGAGCCCCCCACCCAGCATCGGAGGAGACTTCAGAGAGCGGAACGTGAAGCGCTGCGCATCTTATTTCCTCCCCCCATGGGATGAATGGGGCGCTGTGCAAAAATGGAGAAGCAGCAAGATTAACTAAAGAAAACTGCCCCATAAACCCCGGGTACCTGACACCTGCTGAGAGCAGTGCCTGGACTCCCCCAGTGCTTTGCCCTGGAGCTGCTCTGCAGGACACCCTTCCGCACTGCCCCCACTCCTCTCCCCGTGGCCCAGCCCAGGGGGGCACCTTGTCCCGCCCGTCAGCCCCCGCAAGCCACTCCGCTCCTCCAAGCCTCCCACCCGGGCGGGCAGGCGGAGCCCCGGCGTGCGCGCAGCCCCGGCCCGGCCGGAGGGGAGCGGGCGCTGCCCGGGCACTTACCGAAGTACACGGTCTTGTCGCACTTGGGGCACTTGGATGCCATGACGCAGGCACCGGGACCCGCCGCACTATGCGCCCCGCG